CTTCAAACTGGAAGAATTTGAAAATTCTTGCTTTTCCTTTTTGTGGGGACGGAAAAATTTGTGAAAACGGAGCTTCTCAAAAATGATGGTGCCAAGAGAATCATGTGATTTCCCTGGAAGAGTTTACCTTGTTAGGCACAAATCCAAAATGACCGGTGATTGTTGCATTTTTAAATTCTGCTGGCATAGTGTGAGCGCAAAACTTTTGATGCTTTTACAGAGTGAAACCTCCGTTTTAAAATTCCTCTGGCATAGTATGATCCATGCCTAAAGAGAATACTATGATCTCTATAATGTTTGCAATTTTATCAGGTTACATACAAGTCAACAAAATTGTATATGCAGTAGTCCTAAATAGTTCTTTTTTTCCCTTTTATTTTGAAAACAAGAAGACTAATGTCAGGTAAATACTTTTAGTTCTAAGTTTGATTTAGGTTGTGAAGTTATAGATCTTATTTTTCACTGTTACAGGACGGTCAACAATATATTTATACAGCAAACCCAGGAGAGGTCCAAGTACAGGTTAGAGTTCTTTATTACTTTGTAAGCAATATCTTAAGTTCCAGACGTGCATGAGACCTCCATCTATCTTCTTTACAGTTAAGACTTCTTTGGGCTGCCGTTATTGTGTTGACTTTGTTTACATAACCACAATATTGGAAGTAATCTGGAATAAATAACCATGAGTAAATTTTTCAAAGGCTAACAAATTGGCATGAACCAGAAGGGCAGAGTGGGGTCTGTGAAAAATTTACCACTACTAAATTATTTCCAAATTGTTCAAGAATAATCAGGTTATTACTAACTACTACTATCACTGTTACTAGTTAAGTACTATTCTTGGAAAATCTTTGTTGTGCCTTAACACTCATATTAATCCTTGTTTTTCTGTCACACTTATTGCACTGCTGTTACACTTGAACTGCACTGCCTTTTAGTTTAGCCAATCAAAATCAAGTAAACTTTTTCAACTGTTCTTTTGATAAAGAAATTCTTTTTGACAAAGGGATATTGTCTTCAGTTACCACCAAGAAATCTCAGCACTGACATTAAAGAAAATTTGCTGTAATTTAATAATAAGGAGAAGCAGAGACTGACTGGCCTATTATGATTTGTTTTTATAGCAAGTTCAAGTAAGCAACACAGGCACAATGTACACAATACCAGCAGCACAACAGCAATACATCCGTGGACAGCTTCCACCAGGTGTTGTCCTTAATTCAACTGGTATTGGTGGAAATGGCCAACAGATCGCAGAAGATGCTTCTCGGAAGCGAGAAATGAGGCTCATGAAGAACAGGTAAGATGCTCATTAAAAGTTAGGTCTTTGCATTGGTTTCCATGCCTGATTGTTAGAGTACTGGTCCTGTGAACCTACAACCAAGTCTTTCATCTTGCCACCAGCCTTCTACTAAGGCAACCATTCTTTTTGTTCATCTTGCTGTGCTCTCCTCCACAACAGTTTCAGAAGAAGTTTGTTGGGGAGGAGTACATGATATGAGGAGCCAAAATAATGCTCTGTGTAGGAGGCTGTTCTGCTACTAGCTAGATATGTTGATTGTGATTGTGCCCATGACTTCAACTCCTTGTCCACAGCCTGAAAGTACCCAAATGACTTCTTTTTATACTCCTTCTAGTCATGATTCGTATCTATGTTGTGTTCATTTGAGTGTGTTTCATATACATGTACAGAGCCCTGTAATGTGCAAGCTATATTATTTGACTTTTCCTAATCCTTCTTTTTCTAATATGGTCACTTTCACAGAGAGGCTGCCAAAGAGTGTAGGCGGAAGAAGAAAGAGTATGTCAAGTGTCTAGAAAACAGAGTCGCTGTCCTTGAGAACCAAAATAAGACTCTCATAGAAGAACTGAAGACACTCAAAGACCTTTATTGCCATAAGTCTGAATGAAATTTGTTTTACTTCACTGAAGACATTATTTAGTCAAGGGTGGTTTCCAATGACTTTTGATAGTAACACTGTCTTGCCTGAGCATGTGCCAAGCTTTGTTTTGAAAATATTGCCACAGCAGGTTTTAATCAGTCAAAGTAAAAACGTTTTTAGTTCTTGGCTGGTCGGTTGCAAAACTAAAATCAGCCTTTGTTTTGCTAGACAGCAATAGATGCTATCATTGGCTTTGTTGTCTGTCTCTCTTGTATGTCATTGGAATTCTGCTCTGAATAACTCACTCAGTAACTGAAAGCAACAGTATTGAGATTGTACAACATAACATTGTAAATAACCCCTCAAACATTTTATTCGTTTGTAATAATGCCATGCATGCATGATTTTTCTATAAAAAAAAAACTCCATGGTCTTGAAGGTTTTACTTCCGGCGATCGCATTTTATTCAGATTATTGTCAATGTTAATGTAAACAGCAGTGCCATCTCTTTCGTATTTGATGTATAAATACGGTAAAATTATGTAGATTTAGGAACATAATAATAGTATAAGAGCTTTGTAAAACTGTAATGTATGTGTCCTACTCTAAGTAGTACCCATAAGATATTTGTATGGTTGAATAAAAGCCAAATTTTAAAATTTATTGGCAGTTTATCACTTACTCCGTTTGTAGTCATCTATGAATGTTGTAGTCTTAACTTTTCCAGTATTTATGCATGCAGGCTGCTAATCTTTGCAGAATAACTGGCTACTTCTTTCAACCTTACAAGTCCCTAGCCAGAAAAAAAAATCATGACTAGAGGAGTAGAGGGGTGTTTCCTCTCGGCTAGCTAAATTTTGACATTGTAATAAAGTTTTTGATTGATTTGACTGAGGTAATGTCCATGGTTAAATTATCTTCCTAGGTATTTAGTAAAGTTTTATTTTCCCCCTTTGAAAAAGAAACCACAGAAACAAGCAAATACAAATGACTGAGGCAAGTGCTTCGGTTCGCCTCAAACTGGCTGCAGCCTTGCCTTAGCATGCAAAAGTGGAGTGGTTTATAACGGAACGGAGCAGGAATCGCAAATATTACAAACGTAAGAGATGGAATTTTGTTACTTCAGTGTTATGTTGCCTGTTTATGATTAATACTCGCCTACCCACCCCCCTCCTCCCCCTTTTCTTTTGGGTAAAAAAAAAATGCAGAAGGAAGAAAAGCCGGCAGGGCAAGCAAACCCCCCCACCTCCCCTACTCCTAAGCTCAAGGTCTGGATCCACCACTGAAAAAGATGTGAGAGTTTATGTCCCTGGGGGTTTTATCAGAGGAAGATCAGAGAGAGTGGGCTAGATGAGCCCTCAGTTCTTTGGTCCAGTGGCCTTTAAATGAGTGGTCGCTCAGCCACACTCAACATGGCGGACGGAGAGTAGCGCTGTGTTATCTGCATTATGTACTTCATGAGATTTTTTGGCAATGGATAGCGGAATTGGAGAGAAAGAGGCAAAGTCTACCGGAGCGATTATAACTGTGCGTCTGATAAGGTCGTTTGAATACAGAAATATCAAGTATGTCGTCTTCAAAGACGTGCCATTAGAGCAAACGGTCCAACATTTTATGAACTTTGTAATTTCAGGTGAGTTTTTTTACCTTCCGTCTGAATTTGTATCCTGTGTATAGAAACTTAAATGGTTATGATTTTATTTACAGAGATAAAGAAAAGACCTGATGTACCTCCTCCTTTCAGGAACTTCGCATATGGTTCGTGGATGAATATTCTTGGAAATGTTTCAATTGCGCGAAAATGTCAGCTATTAATCTAGTATAGATGACAGTTCAATTTCCCCCTTTCTGCCCTCGGGTTGAGAAACGTTAGCACTGAATGAGTTAAGTGTCTTGCTCAAGAACACAACACAGTTGCCTGGGTCAGTATAACAAATTAAATGTGGTTTAGCCTTGTCTGTATTCATATCGACAACGATATGTGCCATCACAGTGGTTGAAATGTTGTGGACTCACTCGGCTGCTTCTCGTGAGTCCACAACAAATTTTGACCACTGTGGTGACGCATATCGTTGTCGATAAGAGTACAGACAACGCTAAACCATATTCAGTTTGTTTTTTACCACAATATCAACGTCTAAGAAAATGATTTTTTCAGAGCATGAGCTGAAAAAGGCATTGCGTGACACATTGACGCGAGCAGCGTTGTCTGGACTCTTATTGACAATGGCAAATTAGCCAATCAGATTACAAGATTAGTAGCAATTGTGGTAAAAATTTTAATCTAAATCTGCAGTCTAGCGTACTGATCATTCAGTCACCATACCTTGCATGTATATCAGTGGTTTATCTTAAGAGTGGAAATGCCTTTAAATTTTACAAAAAAATATCATGTATGATTTATTATGTATTTTGATTCTATTCAAAAATCTTCAGACACAATGAAAATTCAGCATAAAGCACATGGTGCCAAGGTGAGAGATGTATTGCATTCTATTGAATTCCAACTAAACACTGAATAAGATGACTACTTTCTTGCAAACGATCCTTGTAAGAAAGGGTTAAACAGCCATGGGGGGGGGGGCTACTCCCATATAAAAGGGATAGGGGTGCTCGTCGTACCTTTTAGGGGTTAAGAGAGCAGTTTTGGTACCTCTTGGGGTGTTCAGCCTCAAAAGGTCCACAGCAGTAGCAGGAGGACAAAATATATGACAGGAGATAATGTGTTGTTTTAAAATTGGTACCTGTTAGTGGTGATAAAAAGTTCAAGCCACGTCCACAAAACAGGATCTTGGTACCTCTTAGGAGTTCTTTTCAAAATCTCCAACAAGCACCCCCATCTTTTTTATATGGGGTTAAAAGCCCTTTGTTTCTCTATTTTATAGACAAGTAATCCAGTCATTGTCCTAGAAGATGATCAGAAACTCATTTTAACACCAGATCACAGTCTTTCTGATAGTGGAATTGGTAAGTAAATGTCTTGCTTTTGCCTTCAAAGTTTGTCATGAGTTATATGAATGCTGCCCTCAAAACATCCTCAAGTGCCTGTCATTAAAGTTGGTGCGGAATGAAGTAACTTAGTTTATTTTAGGCTAGTTGCCAAAGTTCAGACTTCCTCCACAAAAATTATTGCCAGTACACTTGTTGTGTCAAATATTTGAACCCCACTCCCTCTTTTAAGCAATAAGTCACTTATTGCTCATTCAACCCCCCCGCCACCCCCCCCCCCCCCTCTTCTTACATTTTGCACTTCTTGCTCAGAATTAAAAGTAAAAAAGCGAACTATAATCTCCATGGCAAGGAGAAGAAATTCAACGCAAATGATGTAAAAAAAAACAATCAGCTGAATATATTTACATGTTCTATGGGTTTGTAAAGCAAGTATTCTATGGAGGTTAGGAAAGAAAATATATTCAAACACAAATGGGTTCTTACATATTAGAGTTTTGAAATATGACAAGAAAGTATGATAGGTTAGAAATAAGTTACACATCACTACTAAAGTTCGTTTAAAACTCTTTATACCATGAAGTTGCAGTGTCATTGCCTTATATGTGAGGTGAACCTTGCATCCTTCATGGCTGTTGTGAAGTAATTCCTTTCTATTAATATATTATTCCTATGTTTCCTAACAGAAAATGAAACAGAAATCTCTTTTTTCAAGAAAGAAGATTATGAAAGATACAAGGCTAATCCAGAGATGAAGTGGTAGAAAATATAAATGAACTGTATGTCGTTTCAGTGACCCTCCTAAGCTGAAATACGAGAAAATTTGCATTTCTAACTGACAAACTATGATACTATTAATCACTTCTGAAGTGCAGTAATCTTGTTAAGCATGTCTTACTAGGCCTGCTGTTTTTGACAGTAAAAAATGTCATTAAACCAGAAAAGATAAAAAAACACTTAGGAATAAATATTACTGTCAGGGATGCACGTGCTATTTCAAAGATAAATCAAAGGGAAAATAACTAGTCTGTACAATAACCAACGCCCGCGTGACAACTCCAGTTTGGCTAGCGGTGAGAGAGCCATTTGTTGTGTAACCGCTTAGCATGGACACGGCATTTTCCAGGGAGCCATTAATTGGCTGAGGTGCAATTCCAAGCAAATGACACATCAGTGGATAAAGGTCAAGTATACTGAAGGGCTGCACCTCGAAATTCTTTTTAAACGCGGGACCACGTGCGAAGAAAATTGGGTAACTGTGACTCTCCTCGGGTGGCCACCCGTGCGCCCCGTAAACCCACGTTGCGTTGGAGCTCCCGCGGGACTGCCCAATGGACCAGCCCACTGCTGGATCGATGAATATCGGGGGAATTCTGCGACTGTGTTTCCAATGGTACGATTCCGGAATGTCTTTTCTCTTGTACACCTTCATGTGTGGGTTCGGTGCTTTCGTGAGATTGTGGAATATTTCTTCTAATTTACCGTCTTTTGGCCAGACGTGCCCCATGGCACCCGATTCCGTCATCATGTAGGTAGTCTGGTCGAGGAAATCAGCGAGAAATATGCGATGACTAGATGAAATGTGGTCAAAACTGTGATCGCTGACAAAGATTAAATTTACACTTTCCAGAAGGCTTTCGTCACGCAACCGATCTATAAGGTAACCCACGACCTCTCTATCAACCTTTTCAATGGCGGCTTTGTATTCTTTCGATTGCAGGCCATAATCATGCCCTTCCCAATCCGGTTGATCTATGTACACCTTACCAACAGCGGCGGTTTGTCTGACCTGAGCCACTTAATCACTTTATCCAGTCTGCTCGTGAAAGGCTCTGTGTAATTAGGTAGGCAGTGGATGTAACTGGGCCAAGTTTTTCGCGTCTTTTTCCTATATTTAGGAAGATCTTTTGGGTCTATTGCACTGCAGTTAACATGGCAAATAGGTTTCTCGTAGTAAGTGGGCTTTTCCCGGTATCCACGACTCCCCGGCCAAAAATAATCTCCGCTTCGCCTTCCTTGCTTTTGCAGCGTTAGCCAGATCGGTTCGGAAGCGTTGTAGAATTGCGGATCGTTATTTCAGCAGTCATAATCGTAGATGAAGTTTTCCTTGTAAGCGGGATCCCAGAAGCTGTTTGACACGATCCCGTGGCTCTCTGGGTACAGCCCTGTAAGGTAGGAGTGGTGGGTGGGCCAGGTTATAGTGGGGACAACATTTATCGTGTGCTTTGCTCGCACGCCATTTCGCCCCACGGCATCCAGATTCGGTGTGTCAGCAAACTGCCCGCTAATGTACTGCCAGCCCATGCCATCCATAGCAATCAAAATGACTGTTTCTTTTTCTTGCTTCGCTGCTTCGTGGAAGATGCCATGGGGTGTCAAAATGAGAAGAAAGCAAATCACTGCAGAGGTATTAAGAACAGGAATTTTCGTCATGCTCGAACCGCCGTTATGTCGGAGTTGATGTACTTACAGGGAGGTGAGGTGCTGCGATCGGAGGAGGGTGGGGCTGGAGGGGGATTGACTTCGATGTAAATGGTTGCCGATATTGATGGAACAAATCTGACCGTGATGAAAAACAAAAACTAGCTGCCTGAAATTCTATGAGTCAGGAATTCTATGTTGTATTATTCACTGAAAATAAATAACATGTGCTGGTGGCACAACCGGGTGGCACAGCCGGGTGGCAGAGTCCGTTCTAAACCATATACAGGACTGAATAGCACAGCCTTCACGCCTCTCTCCTGAACCCTTTCTAATTTTCTAGAGTCACTGGCCTCACAGAAATGCCATGGTTAAGAAAACAAGGTTCCCTCTGCCAGCTGTGAGGCTCTCTAGCTCATATATTAACGAGGGTTTGTGGAAATAAATTAGTCATCGCTCCGAAATGTCTTGTATGCCGCGGGGAAATAAAGGGTTCGGAAACCTTCTCAATGTTAATTATGTCCGAAAAAAGATTGGTTCTCCACGCGAAAATTGCATCAGCTTTTCATTAGTGACGAAAAAAAGTTGCTACTTACCGGGAAAATTGAGAAAATATATTTGTTGTAACTTATTTTGATTGCATGAACGACGAAATTCCCGCCATTTTTTCAAACTTGGAGCCTGACGCGCAACCAATCCTCGCGTATGCTCATCACGTTTTTCCGCTCTGCGGGCGGGATTCGCGAGCGAGTGATTTTTGGCTTATTTCCGCAAGGAAATTCGCGAGCGGCAGATTCTCTCACCAACTCGCCGCTGGTGTTCATGGCTTGCAAGCGAGCGCAAAATTCCGCCAGCTGCGCAGGCTTGAATGTCATGTGTGGGGAGCCTCATAGGTGGGAAGGTACGACAATGAAGTAAAGAACAACACGTCACACGAAGACACTCACGCACTGACTCACGTCTTCTAATTTTATTATTTTCTTGTTTACTGAAATTACCGTAAAAAACGCAAGCAATCTAAATTATCTTGCTGGCTTATGATCACTTATAAACTCCGGTGTATTGAGATTAGACTACGCATGTACATTCTCTAAACCGTGGATATATCAATATTTTAGTACAACATGGTATGAGTACACTGAACAGAAATAAAAAGACTTCAAGCAGCATAACAGTAAGAAATGCAGAATACTTCTTGCAAGAAATCGGAAAACGGTACAACCTATTGAAAAGAACTACACTGTTGTTGACCTGTGCTTTTATTGCAACAACCAAACATGTCAAAATGTTTATAAATTTGAAAAGCCATGTATATACAGAGAAAACACTGATTCCCGAAAGCGTAGCTTTTGTTACGATGGAGCTCCAACCTGGAACAATTTGTCCAAGGAACTATTCTAAGGGCAGCTAATTCTTAGGTGCATGCATTTTAAAAGAGGTATTAATGAAAGACATTCTTTATCGTTTAGGCACTGAATGCAGTATGTAAACCAGTTTCGATCACCAGTGCGATGCTAAAAGAAATTATGGCAAAGTGGATATAGGTAAAAGACTGAAAACCAATCGAGTTTGACTCGGTGAAGAGCCAGCGCAGCTAACCTATTGTGTCGACAGGTTTTGAGGAAAACTAAAACCGCCATATATTCACTAAAATGTAGATTCATTCTTCGTATAAGAGAACAAGATTAAAGATCGATTAAATAAAACCCTGAGGTTTATCTACAAATTAATACACACGGCATCAGTCACTATAGTCAAGTTCAACGCTCCTTGTCTACACTCAAAAAAATTATAAAAGTTTTTGATTATACCACAAACCTCTTTTCAGTTCACGCAATATTTTGTCTCTGTTTTCTACAAACAAATCAAAGCAACCGCAGCTGTCGTCATGGCCAAGAGAGCACGTATTGACCACGTGACCACGCCCTGCTGACCAGCTTTTGGGTCCTCGTCCTTTTTATACCAGATACCAGAAGCACGGTTTGAGGTTCTTTATTTCCAGCCATGGACGAAGGAACCACGAAAAAACAGAAGAAGGCAAACGGCACGACACGGTCCATTCTTGTTGTTTGTTACTTTGCAGCGCGCTCTTCGGAGTCACACCCAGATCTGATCAGTTGTTGACTCATTATTATTTTGAAACAGAGATTACAAACATGTTTCTCATTTTGCATAATATTCCTGACAATGCCCTCGAGGCAGGTGGCAATTTAATTTAAATTTTACTAAGTCAAATTAGAATTTCTTTGCTGTTGCGAGATGCTTGGAAATTAGTACAAGACGGTCAAGATGTGGAAGTAGTCGTCGAATTTCAGTCAAGGGGACCTGACTCATGATCAGAATGAAAGTTGACGATATTGCAACTGTTCAAACAAGTTTTACTCATTGGAGATTTTGCACCATATATGAGACTGGCGAAGAGAACTAATTACATATAAATAAATATTTACACCCTGTGGACTTAACAGGAATCTCTGAATTAATATTTTGACTTTAGCTTTACACTAAAATAGACTGAAATTGTATTCATCACAAACATCTAGTGTGGCTGGGAATAGAATCGCGCATTTTTGAACTGTTTTCGAGCTCTCAACAGCTCTTGATTGCAATTTTTTGTGGAAGCTTTATTGCCGTTGAGATGTTCAATGTCAATTTCCAAGGAAGCCCAAAATGACATATGGCTGTCACTAATGGAAAATACTCTTGCAGTTATTGGACATTTTAACAGTTTTGGCTTTAAATTGCTCTCAGAGCAGGGTGGCTGCACCTGCAGGTTCATTGTTTGATATTTAAATGAATATTTTGCTCTTCAAAACTGAACTAATTTGCATTGCGAGTCAGGCAGCCTTCCCTTGATAAATATTGAATGAATTTTACTGAGCTGTTTCCAGTAGTAGTAAAGCACGTCTTCAAAGCATATATTTCAACTTGGAAGGGCGGTTTAACAAAATAATAGGCCATTTTCGTTTTGCCTTTTGCCTCTCTGTCAAAACGAGTCTTTGTGCATAAGAAGAGATTATAATCATAAAATCACAATCTCTTGCGAAAAAAACCCTTCATGTGGAAATGTGTTTTCCCTACAGGTTCTATTTCGTGCAAATCAAACTCATTTTTGTTTGAAAGGTTTTGCACGAAGATTCGTTTTTGAAAAAGCGGCAGAAGGTAACTCGATTGGAAATGGCCTATTATGCGACTGTATTTCCCTTTTGCATTAAATATGATCTCGCCGCAACTTGAATTCAATGGTTATTTTTTGTTTAGCCTTTCACTTCATTTCAACTGCAGTCCTTGCGGATAACATGGGTCCACTTGGAAAGTGTAAGAGACCTATCAGTGCTCTGATGAACATTATTTTCCGGCTAGTTGGAACGTTTATCCAAAATAATATTCATCTACAATGACTTTTTACATTGTTTTGCTTGTTTTGAGATTATAATCATAAAATCACAATCTCTTGTGAAAAAACCATTCATATGGAAATGTGTTTTCTCTACAGGTTCTATTTCGTGCAAATCAAACTCATTTTTGTTTGCAGGGTTTTGTACGAAAGACTCGTTTTTGAAAAAGCGGCAGAAGGTAACTCGATTGGAAATGGCCTATTGTGCGACTGTATTTTCCTTTTGCATTAAATATGAGCTCGTCGCAACTTGAATTCATTGGTTCTTTTTTTGTTTAGCCTTTCACTTCATTTCAACTGCAGTCCTTGCGGATAACATGGGTCCACTTGGAAAGTGTAAGAGACCTATCAGTGCTCTGATGAACATTATTTTCCGGCTAGTTGGAACGTTTATCCAAAATAATATTCATTTACAATGACTTTTTTACATTGTTTTGCTTGCTTGAATATCTGTTGTAAAGAGTGTGTTCATTGTCACGCAATAAAAAATAAAATCAAAACCACTCAGTGGATTAGGTCAAGAAATTGTGATCTTATAGCCGATAAATAAAGAAGACAGTTCACCAAGTTTAAGGTGTGTGCGTTGTCCCAAAGTTGAGATATTTGTCGAAATGTTCCGCTCAAAATTAGAGAGTCTAGTATGGAGCCGCCATGTTGGTGGACCTCCTTAGTCCTCCAATATGGCGGCCGGAAAATAGTGTAACCATCTGGAACTTATTTTGGCCATCTAGTCAACTAATTATCTGAACCGAACCAAAAAACAATTACACAAGCACTTTTCCTTATACTTGAACTCCAAAAAGGGCTAAAAATCACGAGATAAGTGATCTTAGCTTTATGTCACGCACCGCCATAACTCCGAAATTCAAAATGCGCTGGTTTCCAAACGAAGGACGCTATTGAGCTGGAAAGTTGTAAACAGATATAAATTTAGTACTTCTTATGCCTGGTGAGGATAAAACCCTTAGTGGCTCTTTAGTTTTGGATTTGAGAATATGATGACGTCACGTGAACACACTCTATTGCCTTTCAAGGTCTTTCAAAACAAGATTTACTAGGTGCATCATTTGAAGAAAAAAAAGAAAGTAACCCATAAATTAAAATGGTCCGAGGAAAAGTCTTCGAAATTGAAACTATGTCTTAATGGAGACCATATTATTTTCTGGAAAAGTATGAGGGTTGAAAGCTTGTTTTAAGGGTGCCTAAATACAATAAAAATTAAAAAGGAAAAATGCTTTTCAGGGAGGCCGTGTCTAAAAATTAGCTTAAAATTATTATATTACTTTAAACTGTGACGACTTAATTCAAATTTGAAATCGCTCAGTGAAAATGCTTGTCTTAGGTCTCTAGGTAAGTTGTTCCACAACTAATGGTAGTACAGAAATATGGCTTTCCCTTTCAGAAGCCACGTAATAAAAGCTGAGGCCGCGATTCGTTTAATCAATAGTTGATTTTCACATGACGTCACTAAAATTCAAATTACAAAACTATTGATCTTCCTGAGATTTTACTTTAATGATGTATAAGAGCAGCTGAAATATAGCAATATAGGATAATTGCTGTCAGTTTCAGTGCTGTCAAAGTCCGGCTTTCCTTTCCGTGATATCCTTTTGACCTTACTGGATCCGTGCATTATCAAATGTCATCTTGAGGGATGTTTTTTGACAGGTTTGATAATGAATGCACTAAGCAAAGAGATTACATATCGTTTTTCGTTTGCTTTCAATCGTAAAATGAGCGCATTAACCTGAGGAAACTGCATGAAAATGGTCCAGGTTTTGCTTGCTGCAGTGTATCTTTTCATCACCTTTCCCGCTGTAATTCATGCTAAAGAACCTCAAACCGTGATTCTGGTGTCCATGGATGGAATGCCTTGGAATCTTATCAGCGGCAAGTTTGCGAACACACCAAACCTCGACAGAGTGGCGAAGAATGGAGTCAAAGCCAAATACATCAAGACGGTTGTTCCCGGTAAAACATGGCCAACTCACCAATCCATACTCACTGGGTTGTACCCAGAGAGCCATGGAATCGTTTCCAATGTGTTTTGGGATCCGGTTTATAAGGAAATGTTTATCTTGGAATTCGACTGCAGCAACTTTGACCCGAAATTCTACAATGAATCGGAGCCAATATGGCTGACCCTACAGCGATCAACAACAAACAAAGGACGCAGTGGAGTGTACTTTTGGCCGGGCTTTGGCGGTTACAAAGAAATGCCGAACTTCTACGAAAAACCAATTTGCAAGTTAAACTGCAGTACTGTAGATCCCAAAGAGCTGCCTAACTTGCGCAACAAGACTCGAAGTACGTGGCCACCTTATGAACATTGCTACCCTGACTTTTTCAACAAGAAGACCGAGACATACCCCATGCGAGTAGACAGAGTGATCGGCTGGCTCAAGTCTGACGATCCTCCTCGCTTTGTGGCGCTGTACATTGATGCACCGGACTGGAAGGGTCACTCGGATGGCGCACTATCTCAAGAGTACAAGGACTCCATTGAGGAGGTGGACCGAGATGCTGTTGGTTATCTTCTCGATCAACTGGAGAAGGAATCGTTCACTGATAAAGTCAACGTAATCTTTGTCAGTGATCACAACATGGTGAACACATCTTCAGAGCGAGTGATCCTCTTGGATCAGTACATCGACCCGTCAACATACACGCTCACCGAGAGTGGATCACTCGGTCACATCTGGCCAAACGAAGGAAAGTTGGACGAGATCTACAAGAACTTGACCGAGCCGAAGACTCCTGATCATCTGGCTGTGTACAAAAAGCAAGATATTCCCGAGGATTACCACTGGAAACACAATCGACGAATCCCGCCCATCTTCGTCGATCCCGACGTTGGCTGGATCGTGAAGAAGTCCAGTGCCTCTGTCCGACCCGGACACTGGGTAAGAGGATCTCACGGTTGGCCTCCGCAGAAGGCAAAACTGTACTCGATCTTGTTTGCGCAAGGACCCGCGTTTAAAGTGGATTACGAGATTGAGCCGTTCTCCATTCTTGATCTTTACCCAATGATGTGCGATCTCCTGGGAATAGAGCCACGCCCTAACAACGGCTCCATGGCAATTGTCAAGAAGATGTATAAAGAGGACGAGAGCCCTACAGCTGGTCAGCGGAGCGTGGTCACGTGGTCTCTTGGAGCCTTGCTGCTCTTGGCTGTTTTTTCCGTTTTCCTTGGATCATTTTAGGTGAAAATAAACTGTTACAGCTATATCACATCGTTAGCATGAACTTTATTGTTGAAATAGTCCGGCAGTGCTGCAGTTCCTTTTGGGGATATTTTTTATCAACATCTTAAAACCGTTCTTGTCATAAACTAGAGATATTAATCGTTAACATGTTTTAGATGAAAAACTAAGAACATGTCCTCTAGTTGACCAGGTAAATGGTCAAAGACTCCAGTTCAAATCTTATCATTCTTCGTGTAACGCCAAACAGCTGGCATGTTAGTGGTCTCTCGTTATTTCATGTGCATGGGCGAAAACAGCTCAATAGATTTGGAACCACTTAATTAGTGATCGACCTAAATGATATCACATACGTACTTGGAACTGTACTTCACTGCTGTCACAAATATTGCCTCAAAAGAAGACAAAGCTGCCGGTTTAAGTTGTTTTGGGTAATATTTGAAAATGTCAAAACTAATTTCTATTTATAGTCGACACCAGGAAATGTAAGTGGAAAAGGTTTAAGCCTGGTTTTCACTAGCGCCGCAAGCACAAGCGTAAGCGCAAGTGCAAACACAATAATTCTTATTTCACCGTGAAAACGGCCTTGACGCTGGCATAAGCACAAGCMCAAGCACAGGCGCAAGGGTCAAAATGTTTCCTTTTTCTTGTGCTTGCGCTTATGCTTGCGTTTGCCGTGCGCTGCAACAAGTGAAAACGAAATACGCTCAGGAAAAATTCAKGCATAAGGARATTTACCACACGTGGTTAAGTTTGGCCCATGAAAACACTGGATYCAGATTACCTCGGGCCTAAACAGTTTGGAAGGTTCGGATGATTTTGCTTGTGCTTGTGTTTGCGTCGAATTTCGTTTTCACTTGGGTCATCCCTATTGCTTGCGTTTGTGTTTGCTCTTGTGCTTGCGTCACTAGTCAAAACCAGGCTTTAGAGCTCGACCTATCACTTACTGTTGATAACAGCTTTGATATTTTAAGTACAAGATGCACTAATCTGTTATTTGTGTTCTTGTATCCAACATTGATTGCCTTGCTAAAATGATTTCAAAACTTGCCAAGGGGTTCAAATTTGCTGAACACTTTGAAAGGGAAGTGAGACGAAAGTGACACCCCATACTAAGAGGAACTGTTCGTACTCGCTGTGTATGTTCTTAAGTGATGAATCTCTATCTCCTGAGGACACGCCTATACTTACAACTTTCCCCCTCCGGATTCCACACGCTTAGATTCCACACCCGTCCGTCGGTCGTGCGCAAATCTTCCGGCTACCAAGGGTTGAAAAATAGTTTTTGTTGTAACATGAGACGTAGTCAAAAAAGCTTTGAATGTAACGGCGATCTGCCATCGAGGACAACCGTATCTTTGTTTATATAGCCCTTGATCTGGTATGGTAGAGTTTCTTGTTTTGGCAAAATCCCACGCTCCATATTTTCAGTTTTCCTATCTCGTGACTTGATCATTTACAAGGCCAGTTCATTAACGTTCGGTGTCTCTTGCTGAAAATTATCCGCGCTTATTCTCGAATTAGAGGCTCTTTCCGCTGAAAGGCACTTCGGAATACTAAAACAATTATGATTCAGAAGGCTGATCTTTTCCACGTAAGCTACAATCGAATTGATTAAACTCGACATGAAAGACAATCCGGGCAATACAATTATCAAAAAAACGTATTTATGCTCTTCAAACGGTATGATATCGCCAAAACCTACTGTGGAATAGGTTACGAAAGTGGAATACACATTGCTAATGAAACTCTGTTCTGGCGTTAAACTCGCGCTGGTTGCAGACGCAATAATCCATGTTAGAATTAAAGAAACGGAGTTGATTGCAAGGTTTCCCTTCTCCAAGAAGTCGCAGCTACTTTCATTGCACTGTATGGTGTGGAGTTTTATGTGCAATGGTCGGTTAATTGTTCGCAACGCAATGTTTACCAGTTCACCGATCGATTTCAGCGCCAAAACTGTGAGGGGAATTCCTCCGACCGCATAAGCTATAGTGAAAATTTGACCAGATGGCGTTTGCGGGGTAATATTACCATATCCTGCAAAAAAAAAAGGAGTTCACAGTAAAATAAAATATTACAGAAATAACATTGGGAAAAAGATGAAAACTTGTAATACTGACTCGGCCAGAATAAGGAAGCTAAATTCCATCCACAAATACAATACCTTGTCCCTTTATTGTGCTTTTATGCTCGGACGTTCGCATTTAGAGGTCGTGAAAAATTCGAAAATATTTTTATTTTGAAGTTCTTGGCCAGTTCTATAAGCTTTAATTTGGTATGAGGGCTTAGGTATCTACAGTTTAAAATGCTTGGACACCTAACATCGCTTGGACACGTGACACCTCTAAAGGTATATTTGATGTTGGCACTGATCAATATATTCTCTTTCGCGGTGTATTGATCATTTCATATCAATTGAATACTCTCGGAAGGGTTATAAATAGAAGATCTGTAAATGGAGCAAACATTTTAAGCTGAGAAGTCATTCGCCATCCCTATACTATATATTAAATATGAAATAAAGTGAAATAATGTTGAAAAACCATCAACGCGTAAAATGTTAGGGGCCGGGCTTTAGACTCGCGGTCCGGGCTTTGCATTCGTGAAACAAAATGTATGGCAAGTGACAGTTTGCTCTGCGGACAAGTAGCGCCATAATCGTCTTCCAGCTTACATCTGGACTTTCGTTAAAAACACCGTATATCACTTAAACGAGCAAGTTGTCAGTTTTAGCATGAAAAATGGCCCGGTATTTCAGTGACTCTGTCTTTTTAAACCGGTTAGATTTAGTGAATGAACAAGTTTGGAACAAACTAGCAATCAATTACACGCGAGCGACTATTATTTTTACATCGTTTTCATCGAAGTCGAGTACAGTAGAAATTTTAATTATCACATGCAAAATAAAAAATAATGAGTTTACCTATTGTAGTGACAAGCTGCAGTACAAAATAAACCGAGTTGAGGAAATTCCATGTTGGTTTTGCCCCGTTCTTTCTCATTTCGTCGTAATCTTGCAACAGTTCGGTGATAATTTCCCTAGATAAATTATATTTCTGTATCCATTTACTCTGTAAATCCTCAAATGTGTTCGTAGTAGCATCTGTATCATTGTCTTTTTCAATCTCCATAAAAATAGCTCCTCCGATTAAAATATAAACCACAAAGCCGATTAGACGAATCAAAAGTGTTTTGGAAGCGCTTGCCATATTTGCTGCACGTTTTGTGGCTTAGTCAGAACGATAGACTTCGATTCCAATCAGATGTCAAATATTTCGTTGTAAAATTTTCTTATTAATTCGCTGTGTCATGCCTGGACTCTTTGATCTAGACATGATGCCAGCTGTTTTGGAAAAAAACCACCAATTAAGCTGTCAAAAATGATTATGACTGAGACATGCCACTCAACTTTATAGTCGAATAGGACTGTTTTACTAGCAGCTTGAAGGTTTGTAAATCCTCGAGACTTTATTGGCTAAATAAAGGATAGGGAACAGGTGCCGGTATGTACTCTCCATGAAACTCACGCAAGTCGTAAACGGTTAATTTCCGTCACTAAGTTAAAGCTATTTTTAATTTACTCGTCTCAGCTCCTGGTCATGACAATGGCAGCGGAATGCTTCAAATACTTGATAGATTCCTTGCAAAGTCAATTGTTTCCTCTTGAAGCAGGTGGATTAGTAAATTGCTTTTTTCTAAACTTCGAGAAGGCTAAAAATAATAAAATGTTTTCAAAACACCGCACACTTTCGTCTGACCTACCAACTCCATGGTGATGATCTTAACAAGTGGAAATGTTTACACCCGCTTTCAGTGTTACGTACATAGCGACATGCAGCTATGTAACCTGGCCTATGTCAAAATGTAAGCACAACTGACTTCTTTACGGACCCCTCTTTACGGTCAAACTCAACTTTTAGTCATGAAAGATGGATTTATTTGGCATCAAACTAGGCTAGGAGTATCAAGAAAACATTCTGTGAGGGATAAATCGACTGTTTTGAATGTTTACATCTTTCGAACATTAACTGAACGGTAGCGGCCCAATTCCACCGGAAGTCACTATTGAGAGCCAATCGACTACACTAAAATCGTTTGAATTATCCCGTAAATCGGAATTCCACAATCTTCTTCATTCATTTGAGGTCAGTAATTATCATATACTTGTCATTTCTTCTGCTAATAACCGGGAAAATTGCCAGTTTCACAGGTAAACGGTCTTTCAGCCGTTTACATAGCATGTCGAAAGATGGAATGTCGAGAGATGGTCGAAAGATGTCGCCTATGCACGTAACACTGAAAGTGGGTGTAATTAATGGAGAAGGGAGTTTTTCAATTGAAACGAAACTTAAGAGAGGAATGCAAGAAGACTAAACTAAAATCCCCCCTTTAAAAAAAATTACTTCGTGCATGTCACTGGAGACCAACTGCCAACGTTAGAAATTCTTCCAGGACTTGGAAACATGTGGCACTTAAATAGTCCGGTAAACCGGGGCAGTACTTCTCAATGCTGGGAAGTGTGGGAATTATGCCCCCCCCCCCCCCCCCCACCGACGCCATAGTTCATGCTCCCGGTTTGGAAACTTCTGCCTACCTGCTTTAGAGCCTTTAATGATAATTAACTTGACGTTCTGACGCTAGAAGCCCTGTCTTGGTCGCTTGGAGTTTTATTATCGTCCTCTGTGGGTTCTTCAACCCCATCTGCCTGTATTCTCATCTCCCTTTTCACGGGAAAGCATTTCGAGAAGTTAAAACAACGTTTACAGGCCACGTTGCTTTTTTCGATCCAAGCAACTACCGAATCAATTAAACTCGACATAAAACAGAGTCCCGGGAGAACAATTACCATAAAAATGTATTTACGGTCTTCAAACGGAATGATGTCGCCAAACCCGACAGTGGAATACGTCACAAAGATGGAATAAATAGCAGGAACCAGGCTTCGCTCGGGCTCCAAATGTGCGCTGATAGCAGTCACAATAGTCCATGTTAAAATGCAACACACAGCGTTGATGCAAACGTTTCCACTTTCCAGAAAATTGCAGAGACGTTCATCGCAGTGTATGGTGTGAACTAGTTTGTGCAATGGTCGGTTGATATCTTTTAGGACAATGTTTACCAGTTGTCCAACCGATTTCAGGGCGAGAACCGTGAGTGGAATTCCTGCCAGCGCATAAGCTATAGTTAAAAGTTGACCACTGGATGTTTTAGGGGTAATATTGCCATATCCTGCAGGCAAAAAATAATTTAAAAAGTTTCAATGCGTAGCATTGATCAGCCCTGTTGTCAAAATTTTGACTTTCCTCCTCGTTTCCAAGCAATTTTTTGATTGTTAGTATTGAGATTTTAATAGCACATCAAGACTATTTTTCTCTATTCCCATCCACCACCTGTCTTCTGAAATAGAGGGCCTGGATGGGAGTGCTGGAAACTCAGTTAATTTCTCAGCTTTTCGTTAAAATTTCAGTCCATCGCTTAGCTATCTAATCAGCCGACCGGGGGTGGGGGTACTCCCAGAAAAATTGGTTGGGGTGTGCGGCCTACTTCCCAAAACCCTTACCCTATTTAAGGCTAAAATCTGCGATTTTCCCTTCCCTATTTATGACCCGTCTTATAATTAGTTCCCTAGTTCAGACCAATGCTTAAGGCATTGTGAAGGGCTTATCGATAATGATGAAAACAGAGCGCAAAAAACATACCCTATTGCTGATTTGCTGACCAAAACAGCTAAAACCCCATACCCTTTAGGGCCGCACATACCTTATAGCCCATATAAGGAAGTATTCCCCCCCGGACTCAGCTGTCAGTACGAGTTTGACCAATTCTGAGCCATCAGCTTAGCCCTATACTCCAAGAACTACAATCATATCAGCATTGAAATTCAATACACCCTGTTTTTTTCAGCTCGGATGTGTTCAGTAGTAAAACTCTGTTCTTTCTCTTTACTTTGCTGTCCTGGATATTACTTGTACTCAGAAGCTATCAAGACCTTTAAGATCGCTTTAGACCACTATTAGTGTTTAGGAACTATGCTGGTAAAAATAGATACTCACCACGAAGAACTATAAGTATTTCAGTAATATAAAAGAGAGTTAAAAAACAACCAACATATTTTACCTATGGTAGTGACGAGCTGCAATACAAAATAAACGGAGTTGAAGAAACTCCATTCTGGTTTTGCTTCGTTTTCTCTGATCTTGTCGTAATCTTGTAGCATTTTGCTGATGTTTTCCCTGGATAAATTATATTTTTTAATCCACTGACGCTCTAACTCTTCAAGTCTATGCGTAGCAGCGTCTGTTTCACTTCCCCTCTCAATCTGCATGAAAATAGCTCCTCCGATCAAAACATAAACCAAAAAGCCTGCCATTCGGAATAAACATGTTTTTCGGTCAACCTTCGCCATGTCTAGACCACTGTTATCAGCTTAAAACGTAACGAGAGACTTCGAATCGAAAAAGTTCTTTTTCGGATTAATTCGTCCGAAAAAGACGCTAAAAAAGCCAGTTGTATGCTGATAACTGTCTATCGACTTCAGGTCTTGCGATAACTCGGTATTTGCTAGTTGACTTTGTAGTGGCGACTGGTCTGTTGATATTGATTGCTTGTATGGTTCGCGGAAGATTTCTTAGTTTCTTGAGATTTCATTGGCCAGCGTCGTTCGACGTTATGCAGGTGTCTGTATTGTGCTAAATATGAAAGGCTTTAGGAAAACTCACCAAACTGGGATATTGCTGACTAATAGAGGACGCTTTCTAAATCTAAAATTTCTTCAACCGCGGGAAACAGCTGAATAAACTTTAATGATCAGAACTTCATAGCAACTGGCTGGTTAATACTGCATGTCACATACGTTATGAATAAAACAACACGAAAAATAAGCTTAAATTATCCCGTGGATTAATTGAAGTTTGGTCAAAAGAAAAAAACACGTCAATAAGGTGACATGGTCTCTATCCCTTTATGGATTCGGTTTGATTGACAATTCGTATACAAGAGACTAATTTCAACTCGGTCAACTGACTGATTAGGTATTACAAATCATCACTAACTGCAAGCGTATGACAGAATTTCAACAAATGATCAAAATCAGTTATTGGCAGGTGAGACGATAAGATATTCTGAATGTATTTTCTAGAGAGACTAAAAAAGACCTAGAATTCTTATGTTTATAGAGAACAGTTTCTGCCCTTTATTCGCTAATGACATTGAAATTCAATGTAGAATTGATTAATAATTCGGAGATCGTGTCTGTGTTTTTTTTTGTCCGTTGTTTTGTGATAACAATTTCGTAGTTGCCAGTAGAGTATTTCTCATGTTTTATTTATGAAAGTAGCTTTTCCATTTCATATAAATGCGTGTCCTGTTGCCCTCGTTTCACGAATGGTAATTGTGCAACGTTTTCACGCAAAACTCGATCGAAACAAAAACTCGATCCACACTACGCTGGAAAAAATTTTGAAAAGGGCGTTTTCACTCTGAAAACGCATCAAATGTTTTCCCTCCACACTACGCCGGAGAAATTTGAAAACGCAACAATCACTGGTCGTTTTGGATCTGTGTTTGGGGAAAACTAGGGCGGGGAAATCACGTGATTATAGTGATGTCAAGTGTACGGGCACCTTCGGACTTTGGGGGGAGGTGACCTTCTTTCCCGAAAAAAATTTTGCAGTGCCCGAATGCGTGAGTATTGAAATCGGTAGGCAAACGCACTCAAATTGTATGAAAAACAAAATCGCTCACAATAGACTATTTCTCGGTATTGGAATGGAACTAGCTTACAGTGAAGGCCCATGCAAGGGAATATCATAAGAAAAGATATTAATGTGATTTGCATTTGAAAAGACTCCCCCCCCCCGCCATGAACCTCAGTTGCAAGCTATAAGCCTCGTCAAACAAATTGTTGAAACACTTCAGTTTCCTTGCATTTTGCCCCTCTTCACCTCAGAGAAATGTCTACAAAACACCTTGAATAGACACATGAATGCATTTTGCCATTTTCCAGCATTGGAAGTGAGAACGGGGGCATAGGCGTACGGGCACCTTCGGACTTGGGGGGGGGGGGGGGGTCGTGACCTTCTTGCCCGAAAACTTTACGCAATGCCCGAATGCGGAAATGTTGAAATCGGGATGGAAACGCACTCAAATTGCAGGAAAAACAAAAACGTTCACAATTCCCACATCCAATGAAACTGCTATAATTTTCAAAATAGTTATATTGAAAGATTGCATACTCAATCTATCAAGAGTCTCAATCCGAGTAAAATCTAAAACTTATTAAAAGAAAAAGTTCTCAAAAAAGTAACTAATTAGAAACTTTTTGGAGTTTTGGAAATTACGCCAACAGCATTATTTTGTAATGTTTTCTCGAATAATTTAGCGTTTTACCCAAAAACTCACATAATTTCCGTAGCTGGGGGGGTCTGCAGCCCGCCTCGCCCTCCCAGCTCATAGGCCCATGAACGGAGGTTTAATTTTGACACTTTTTTACTAGTTGCTATGATCGAAATTCAAAACATTTTGCATGTGTTTCATCTAAATGTGACGAGGCTTGAAGTTCCAGCCCAATACCGGGAAAACGAATGAGGCTGAATTGAAAACCAGGGCACATGTAACCGAACTAAAGTGAAAACCAGACGTATTGGAAAACTTACTTTTAATGCATAGCACTCATAATAATTTCTGCTGTCATAAAAACAGCTTGAGTAAAGTTATGTTACAAGCTCGGCAACGGTATTAAACCTCAGTGACTTTAAAATCTAAGACTCGTGCCTTTAGAAAGAGCTGTAACGATGATTCGTCATTTGAATTAAACTCCCTTGATATCAAGTCCGGCGTTACACCCCAGGGTTTCCCTGGGACGCTTTCCATTCAACCAAAACTTCCGGAACTTTCGAAACGGGGCAAATGGTACGGAAATTTTGTTGGAAGGTTTTCGGAAAATTTGAAAATTATTAACTTCCGAAAAGAAAACAATTTAACCGAAAATTCCCAGATGAAAATCAAATGGAACAGAAATGTCCGGTAAGAAATTTTCGAATTGGTTTAGCTCCCGAGGTTGTCCAACGCTGTCCCATTTGCCACTGGAAATTTCCAAAGATGCAAACCGGAATTTTTGGTCGAATGGAAAGAGAACGAAAGATAAGCCATGCAAGACACGTTCGGATATCATTTCGTCTTTTTTAAACAAAAATTTATATGACACAAGAGTAAAAAGCGGACAGTTAGAATATTCCTAAAAAATTCAGGCCGAATCATGTGATCATCTGAAATCGTGATAATGTGCTTTTTTAGAATCATGTTACATGAAGTGCTCTTCACACAAGGCGATTAAGAATATCATGTCGTTCGTTGTATTGCACGTTTGTATTATTTCATTTGACTGCGATTGCTTTGCATTTCAAAAATATATTCTTAAGAATGCAGTTTATAGTCTGGGAATTGAAGTCGCTTGAAATCTATCCTTAAATTCAGCAGCTAATTAAGAAAGGACAACTGCCCCCTCCCCCCTACCCTGGGGCTGCTATGCAAACTGCGTTTCGAATGCAACGATTTGTTTCATGTTTATTATGATTACACTTCATTCTCTCTAGACTTACGAAAATAACTCTACGCGGAGCATATGGTATGAGACTTTTGGTGTAACATTTAGTAGAAACAGTTTGAAAAAACGTATATTTCGATTCAGACCAGAACTTAAATTGAAATATCGTCTTCTAGTGTTTATAAAATAACTCCTCTGTTTGTCCACTTTTAGGCAGTTATTTCGGAATCGCTTTCCTCGATTATCTCACGTTGTCTTAATTTAAAACGCCGTTTGTACGCCTCGTCAGCCAGAATATCAAACAAGTGTCGTCTGGGTTTTCCTGTAAAGGACAAAAAAAACAACAACAACAAAAAAAACAGAGTTATGTAAGTTAGCAGCGACTGCTTTTCTTACAATGACAAGCAACACAATTCTATCAAACAAAATATTTGGGAAATTTTCCGACGGAATCGACTGGAATAGAAATCAGTTTTTGAATAGTTCGTTACGAAAATCTTGGTGAGCCTCTTGCGTTAAATCGACATTTACCAACATTCAGAAGAAAAAAATCAAGCTGAAAATTTACCTGCTTTGTTGGTATTGTTGTTTGTTTCCGTTGCGTCTTCTATGGATTAAAAGAATAAACAGTGTGAAATAAAAAAATCATTATTTTGCTTTTATACATCTGTTTTAATGAAAGGTTGTCCTACAACAGCGATTAAACGAACGCGGCAATGTCAAAAGGAATTATGGGTGACGGTGGTTTCCTGTTGCTTGATTGAAGTTCAAGGTGTTTCAGTAGCGTAATAGAAGGAAACAGCACAAGCACGTGTATTTATGCTTCCCCTTTCTTATTGCTGAAACACCGTGAACTTCGACTAAGCGTTCAACCAGGCAAAGATAATACCCATAATACCAATCGGCAATGGCACGTACGCTTTTACGTTTTTGTGGATCAACCTTTGTCCAAACAGCTGTTTATCCACTCATTTCTTTGAGTTTGTATTCAGCAACCTCGACCAGCATCATAACAAAAAAAAGA